GAGAGAGAGTGTGTGTGTGTGTGTGTGTGTGTGTGTGTGAGAGAGAGAGAGAGAGAGTCCCGCTCTAACTAAACTCAAGCCAGCCAAAGGCAGAATAAGCGAGCAGGGGCGCCCTCTAGCGGTCACACAGAGACTCACCGCTGATCACATTCCGTCTCATTACAGTTCTCTGACCTACACAAACACACACAGCACTGGGTTTCCTAAGGAACGCCTTTCTTAATGAATTACAAATATGTGTTGTTGTTGTTTTTTTGCAACAAGTAAAATAGGTGAATAACTGACCAACGCTGTCATCTAGCGGTCTTACATTAGCCTGCTTTTAAGGATTAGTTTTAGGATCGTTATGATATAATATGGCCAATATGTTGTGGGTTTACTGCACTTGCCTTTATTATATCATAAATAAAACTTTTATAGTTAAATTGTCGTTGGCGTATATGGTTAAATTATGGCTTCAGGGGGCCAGTTCTCCTCTGGTTAGTTGAAACCAGCATGATGTGGTTTAATTCCAGGCTGCAGCACAGGTCAGATTGAGCAGAGGACTCGTCTGGTTCCCGTGGTCTCATGCCGATGGATGACGAGGTCTTCGCAGGGGATCTGTCTCTGGGGCTCATCTAGCTGGCAGGGTCTCTGCTGACACTCAGGGCTGTCGAGGTCCTCTCTAGGTGCTGATCCAACATCTGATCTGGATACAGACTGGATCTGGTGGCTATGGTGACCTCAACTCAACTCCTTCTTACAAATATGGTAGAACAATTACTTCTAGCAAGAAAGACTGCTCCTGATTTATCTCAATTCCTCAGCATATCCAATAGCTCAGAAAAACTTGATGGTGTAACAGAAACTATGGACTCTCTCTTTTTTAGCACTTTAGATACGGTTTGCTCCTTTACGCTTAAAGAAGATTAAAGGGGTCATATGATGTTGCTAAAAAGAACATTATTTTGTGTATTTGGTGTAATGAAATGTGTTTATGTGTCCAACATCTGGACTGGATGCGGACTGGATCTGGTGGCTACGGTGCCCTCAACTCAACTCCTTCTTACAAATATGGTAGAACAATTACTTCTAGCAAGAAAGACTGCTCCTGATTTATCTCAATTCCTCAGCATATCCAATAGCTCAGAAAAACTTGATGGTGTAACAGAAACTATGGACTCTCTTTTCTAGCACTTTAGATACGGTTTGCTCCTTTACGCTTAAAGAAGATTAAAGGGGTCATATGATGTTGCTAAAAAGAACATTATTTTGTGTATTTGGTGTAATGAAATGTGTTTATGTGGTTTAAGGTTAAAAAACACACATTATTTTCCACATACTGAACATTATTGTTTCTCCTCTATG